CCCTTTCTATTCCTCCTTGCCAGTGACTGAATGATGAAAGTATCCTCAGAAAAAACAGTGGAACGGGATACAGTGGACAGTGCTAGATGACTTAGAATTCGCAGATGACCTGGAACTACTGTTCTACAACCAACAACAAAGGCTGGAAAAGACAAGAGATGTAGTCACTCCATTGAGTGCAGCTGAGACTTAACACAAATGGAAGGAAGACAAAGATCATGACGATAAACACAACTAATAACACATCTTCTTGGCATGAAATGGACTGGAACATGTGGAGGCCTTCATTTACTTGAGTAGCAGTATCATTAATATTAATAATAGATCAGAAGCAGATGTTAGGGTTGGAAAGTCTAGGTCAGCATTTATGGCGTAAAAAAATATATATGTTAATCAAAGTAGCTGACTCTGCAAACAAACATTGGGATGTTCACCACTAATGTGACATCAGTCTAACTCTATGGAGCTGAAACTTGGAGAACAACAGTGAGCATCACACAGAAAGTACAGACCTGCCTGCCTGAGAGTGATCCTGAACATAAAATGTTCAAACACCATCAACAAAAAAGAAATATCGCAGAAGGCATATCAAAAGTCTTTTGCTGAAGACATCACAAAGAAAAGATGGAGGTGTTTAAGGCACATTATTCAAAACAACCCAGAAAACATCCCTAGACAATCCCTATCATGAAATCCTCAGGGAAAAATAAATATAGGAAGTCCAAAGAACACATGAAGATGTGAGGTGGAGGTAGACAAAAAGTATGGAATACATCTGGAGCTAACAGGAAAGTACAGGGCCAAAATGAATGGGTAAAATGCCTAAATAAGTAAGAGAGCGTTGAAATGAAAAGCTATCTATTAGTAACTGATTGTGATTTTAATTTCAGATTATTGCTTCAGCGGAGGTAAAAAATATTGACAATTTGTCTAATACTGTGAAGTTGATAAAGTTTTTCATAAAGGATGAGGCATTTTCTTTCAAGGCAGGGCAGTGGTAAGAAAATGGTGAACTCAATGAAATGTTTGATCTTTCATTAAATCGCACCCCTTATTATTGAAATAAATACTTTGGGTTCATTCCCAAATGGTGCTGTCAAATCTTTATTTTTATAATACTTCAATATGAATACATTTTCTATGAAATTCATAGCACACTTACAGCAAGACTCAACGTCTGATACTAGTTATACTAATCAGTCTCTGAGAATATGTTTTCTGTTTAAGGGTGGATATGTTCATCCCAGGAATATCAACAGTTGGAGGATTCTCTATGTGCTCTCCTCCACATGTACTGAGACAACAGAGAATGTTACATCTGGCTGTTAAATACTCTCAGCATCCTCCAGCTCAGTGGATTCACACAGAGGTCAAAATTGTTTGCAGACTTTAAGTGATGCATACATTTAATTTTTAAAATAACATGTACTGAATTCGTTTTATTGCCTAGTAAAGAATTATGTTTCTGATTTTTAAACAAAAATTTTTGTTAAAGTTTATACAAGAAATCACTCATGTTTTATTATATATTTAGTGCAAAGTGGGTGACCAGGTCCAACTTAAAGCTGGTGGAGATTTCTTCTATTCTGGCTCAGAAAGCAGCCATCTTCTCCTCATTGGTGGTGGTGTAGGGATTAATCCTTTATTTAGCATGCTGCAACACTTTATAGACATACATCCTAGACAACTGAGTGATTCTGGTGACAGTGGCTCTACTCATGATGCAAGAGTTTCTTTGTTATACAGCGCTCAAAATAAAGATGAGCTCATCTTTAAGGTATGCTACCTTGAGAGCTTCAAGGTCTTAAAAATTGCATGTCTCTGTTCAGTTTGAAATGTATGGGCTGCTGTAATTCTTATGAGCTGTATTGTTATCTGTTGAATTCTTACCGTTCTTATATTAACAATAAACTAGTTTACAAATGTATCGCTGCAGGATGAACTGATAAAAATTGCTGAGAGTTCTAACAATGCCACTGTTAAGCTGTTCTGTACCAGGGAGAAAGTTAAAGCAACTGAGCAGTTAACAAGTAAGGAGAGCAGCATTTCTTAATGGGCTTAACAATATGTTTTCATGAGTAGAGTACATTACAAAAGTGAAGGGGAGGGGGTGTGTAAATTTATTAGATACATTGAAATTTTTCTCCTGTGTAGTCTAAAGAAGAGAAAATTAACTTCCCCAATAGTTATTCAATTTTTTTTAATAATCAAAACCGGCTTCACATGCACTAGTGGGGATGTGACTAATATATCTTATATAAAAGATGTGACATATGCTTCATTGGGGAGACAGGTTTTTGTTTAGGTCAATTGATCTCCAACTACCTTTTCCAGGAACTTGGCTGCACAAACCCATTCCCTTATTACCTGGAATTGTAGTTTGCACAACCCTCTAATAAAATGTAAAAGTCTAACATCTATTTTAAACTTAAATTAAAATAAAAATTACTCTATTTTAAATAATTAATTTAATATTAAGACCCAGCTATACTTCAATTTTAAAGTAGAATAATTATTGAATATGTGACTCAGATATCTAACGTCTTCACTGCCCATATATTCTTAATGCCAAAGATTGACTTGGTGAAGTGGTACAAGGTGTTTAAAGTCACTGAACAGGACTCTTAAATCATAAGGTTCGGAAATCTAGAGCCTGTTTCTTTGCTTGGAGCAAAGTTGAACAATCACACCAAAAAAAAACATATTTTAATATTTACGAATAATCCAGAGTTGAGGATAATAATTTGAAATTTCCTTTTGTACTAGTAGCCACAAATCTTGGCATAAGATCTTTTGACTCTACACCCTCAGTGGGCAATAGATCTTTATTTATAGCCACACATGTAGCCATCAAGCCACAGCAAGGGACACATTTCCTAAAATAATCTGTATCTCTACAACAGACTTATAATCGGAATGAGCTTAGTTATTTAACTTTTAGTATTCGTTTGACCATAATTAAAATAATTGTAATGGAAAACAAATTTTATTCTGAAAGCCATTTGATGAGAAACTGCAATTTACAAGTTTACCTATTATATAGGTAGCACAAAAAGTATGGCATGTTTGACCCCCACCCTAATACATTTATATTGACCCACCCCCTTTTCCAATTATATAACATTTCTAGCAACCCAATTCCCCCCAAACTAAAAAGAGTAGTTTAAAACTGCTACACTGATTTTGCCTCAAGATTTAAATGATGCGGATAACTGAAGAAAAAGTTTACTCTCATAATCATATCAAACCAAACATTGAGATCAATTTTGAAATCCCAGAATTCAAACTTTGTAAACACAAATTGCGGCTTTTATAAGTTAATGTAGGAGTCAACACCTAGCAAAGCCAGCATACGAGTTTCAAATGAAGTTTAGTATGACCTAGAAAAGTGAAGTAAATTAATGGCAAGTTTTCACAGCAAAAGTCAAATCAGGGTTTTAAATAAATATAGTGGTGGCCTTCTTGAGTAGTAGGCAAAATAAATTGGGAAAATAAAATCTTCAGATAGCCACACCAATGGCCACCTGTGGAAAATGGCTTTTATAATTGCTCTGCACCAGTATTTCAGTTATTTTGATATATATTCACTTTACCTTTTTTTCCTGCAGTGTCAATCAGGATGTATTTGTGTTCATTATTTAAGATTTTTAAAATACAGCCTTGCTTAAGACTGATCAGCTATTAGATCTACATATTTTATTTGTTTTTAATTTCTAACAGGACTAGATGTACATTGTCACCATTATGTCAAAGGAAAATCAAATGATTAGATTTTTTTAATTCTTAAAATGTTTACTGCAAATATTAAAACTTTTAGTTGAGTAAAGGTAAAAATAGTAACATTCCACCAATTTTAACCAATTTCCGACATCTTTAAAACATCATCAAATCCCATTTCTGGATTTTATTGGTATTTTTCGGACCAACTTGATTTGTTTGTTAAGCAATTAAAATTTTCAACTTTTTGTGAAATTTCTTTGTTAATAATTAGACAATTACATCAATCAAATTTTTTTTTGGACCCTTTATATTAACTTCACTTTTGTTTGTGGCTGGCAAAATCTTCGGCTACTTGACCCACTTCCCGTCAACCTATCCCGCTGAAACTTGGCATATAGACTTGTTGCCGATGACAACACATTCTTTCTAATTTTCAGCCTCAGTTTTTTTCTGTTTTTCAAGGAGAACATGAAGGAAAATTCCCTATAACTGCCGTAAATATTCGTGATGAGACTAAACTAGTTGGAATTCTTATAAAATGTGTTTTACAGCCCCCCCCCCCCCCCCCCCCCCCCCCCCCCCATATTGCTCAATATTACATTTTATTAAGGATTTATAAAAAAATCTTTGTTTTTAGGGGTTTTTTACTTTCTTCTTTAAATTAATTTGACAATATATATAAACATTGTTTGTTACTTCCAGACAGCAGGATTCATCTCAAAGACATTGAGACTGTGTTAAAACAAGAAGATTTATCAAAAACAGAGGTGTATATATGTGGACCATTACCATTTATTCAATGTATGGAGACATATTGCCTGAATTCTGGCATTAATAAGGACAATATACATGCTGAAAAATGGTGGTAGTAAAATCTTTTTGTCATCCCCTAAAGACTATGAGCAACCACAAAAGCATCGTGACTACTTGGGTATTATAACCATTTTCGAATCAAGACTTTTTTATGTTGGCCATCATCATTTTAAACAAGTTTGTAAAACATTTTTGTCAATTTTCACTTTTCAAATGTTTTTGATTAAAACTTCTGAAATGAGAACCTCTCGCAAGTGTTATTTTACTATCTTATAACTTTGAAGAAATTTTCAGAAAAAGCATTATTTACCATATGTAATCATGTTAAATATATCTTCTAGTCAGTTATGTCAGAAATATGGAAATGTAAAAAACAGATTGGACATGGAAGTTTGACTTTTTTGTGTTTGGGTGAAGTAAATTTACACATGCAATTAAAATTAGTATTATCAAAGACAAACATTTTCAAATAACAGAAAATAATTATTTTTTCCTTTAATTCTTTATTTTACTTGACAAATAAAATTAACAAGACAAGCTAACATATTTTCTTCACAAACATATGATTTGAATTGCTATTGAGAGAAATGCAATATAATTAAACTTAAACTTTTCAGTTGTTTCAGAAAAATGATTATGATTTAAAATGATTTTTAATTCTTCTTATTTTAAAAAAAATTACTTTAAATGTTGATAGAGGATAAAGATAATTAATCCAAATATGTGTAATTCTTGGGGTGGTTTTTCAACAGGTTCTTCAAATCATGAAAGAAAAAAATTGAAGGCTACCGTTTGTGATACAGTTAAACCTTTACAATTAAAGCAGAATGGAAATCATGTACATGCAAGTAAAAACAAGCCATTTCTATCATTAATGACAAAGTTTGTTTTTTTTATATCTGCAACTAAAAAATTATGAACTTTTGAAACTTTGCTAAAATGAGTTTAGAAAGAATTTTTCAAGCTTGAAATCTTAGGCTTCAGATTATTTCTATTTTTTTACATTTCTTTTCACCATTTTATGAGTAGAGTACAAACAATATTTAAGAACAAAAGATATAATGAACAGGGTTTACAATTGATGTCTTCACTTAATTCAAGCTAAAAATTGACTGGTATTACTGAGAACTAAAAAACCTGAATAGTTGAAGATTATCTGCATGTGAAATATCAACACTATAAATGTCATTGTAAAATACACACATATACACAAATAGCAACAAACCAAAATAAGCCTCCACATATGAGAAGCCTATAAATTTTTAAAAGCCGCTACATATTGTCCTTTTTACCAGTTAACACAGCGCACCTTGCCTGAAATTTTGTGGACATGTATGCATATAAGCCACTGGTACTAGAAAAATCTCAAGCAACTGATAATAAAAAAATAATAGCTGGCCCCATTTTTATGTTATAAGAAAGATGAAAACCAGGTAATAAAATTTTAGTGTCAACACTGTTTATTTGGATGATAGTTTCATTTCACATTAACTTCTGCCATGTTTAATTTTTAAGCTTTTGTTTACCTGACATCCATAGTTACACCAAAATTTGAGTTAACTTCATAAAATGTAAAAGCTTTGCTTCTTTATTGAAACATAATATATTTCTATTTACAAATGCACAACAACAGAGTACACTACAAAATATAGTCCAACTCATATCGAATATATTGGTTCTTTGCATCATTGGGGATTCGGGGGTAGGATGGAATGAGACCATCTTGGGTTCCTATGTAGACTGTATTGTAAACCTTCCAGTAGACATCTCTCACTTTCCTTGCTGGGTGAAACAAACCCTGGAGAAAATAGTAAAAAGCGTTTAATGACAACATCAAATTCATTTATAAGAGAATGTTTCTTTACATTGTACTATCAATGTTTAGTGGATTGCAGAAAGGGTACGCACAATTAATTTTAAACTACAAGGAAAAAATAAAATAATAGGAATTTATTTTTTTTAAACTATATATAAAATAAAACATGTCAGCTAAAAGCCTTCATCAGTAAAAATAAAAAAATTGTTTAAAAATAAAGCAATAATGGAAAAATTTCTACCTGCATTGCATACTGAAATATTTTTGATGGTCCAATAGCTACTCTGAGACCTTCAACTGCACCCATAAAAGCTTGAACGACATGAGGAGAGTTTTCAAAGATGTTTGGCCAGACATAATTCAGAAGATGTATTAGGGCATCCTCACAGCCAAACCCACAAACACCTAGTGCCATGTGTTGAATGGCTGCCATGGCTGTCTGTCTGTGAACCAGATCTCTGTACAAAAATAATACAAAATTTTATTAATTTCAAAAGTAAACTGGAAGCAGAAATTAAATCTTTCTACCCAATAAAATAAGTGCTTACAAAAAAAAAAAAAAAAAAAGGCTGTTCCTTTTTTTAAAAAAAATATATGCTTGTTGGGCAGATGATAAATTGAGCCTTCTTAAACTAGGATCAATACGTTGAATGGAATGCCACTTTAAACAACATGCTTTGTAATTAGCCAGCAATAAATATTCAGTTATAAGGAAGCATTTGGAGACCACCAGCAGACCTTAGGGACCCTTTGTTAGTTTGTGAAAAAAAATTACATAGGGAATAGTGAACAAGTTGTTAAGAGCCACATAAAATTATTTTAATTTAATGAAAGCATTCTCTTGTAGGACTTGCACTTAGTAGATCCTTGCATTTCAACTTAGAAGAACTTACAGTATCTACTCCCCAACATTTTGGTGGTTTTTTATGTATGGTTATTTTTTTTACTATTCAGATAAGGTATTGAACAATTTTGTGATGATATTGTATGATTTTAAGAGTTTGAGGGTAAACAGGTCTGCATGTATATGCTACATAAAGTACTTGAATATCTTTGAAAAAACTGTCAGTTGAAGACGTTTTATAATACCAGGCTTTATTAATCTGGATCAAATATTGCTAAACCTAGAAAGCTCTAATCCTCCATGACCATCGGTTTTTATCAAGGAAATTGATAACGTTACCTTTCTCACATCAACCAGTTATCATCAAAGAAATTGACACATCTATCAAGCATTAGTCACATCTATATCAAACAATAGTACTCGGGAAATGAATACAATATCATTTCCTGCCACAATTCTATAAATCATCTACCAGGAAATTTACTAAAATAACAACTCTTTCCAGCATGTATTATCCAAGTTAATCCTAATTATATTTACTATAAGGACTTGACTTGTCAACATTTTGCAAACCTCATATTATGTAAAAATTAGGTATAGATATTTGAATTCTATTATCATATAACCTTCCCTCACTTGTAAATATTTTACTTGCAAATAAATTATATATTAAAATGTACTTCTTCGTTGTGTCCTAATCAGTCTGTCCCTTAGATTTAACTGATATGGGTTCCATTTAGACTTTTATAAAGTGGACAGGTAGCTATATAATCCTCTTCTTTTGATTGTCTTGGGAGAAGAACTAGAATATCTCAGACCACATTAATCCATTAAAAGGGATGTATGCATTGGTACTCTTCCTTACAGAGATCTTAGGCTGAGCTAGATAACTATCAAGAACTGGGTTTAACCATTCTGCCAGGGGAATAGTGTTGGCGCCAAAGTACACCATATGGACAATTGAGTACTGAGCTGTTACAGAGGTGATCATTTCTTTCAGCAACCTGCTGCAACATCTTTTTTTAAGAGAACAGGGATCTATCAATTTTCAGAGTAGGAATTACTCTAAAACAAGTAAAGTTGCAGCTTCTGACTAAAAGGAACCTTGACTCTAAGCTGATTATCAAATTTCAACTTTCAAGCTTAAAAAGACGTCAAAATCATTTGAACGGGGGTAACACACAAAGTGACAGGCACAGCAATAATAAGAGACATTAAATTAAGCTGTAATACAGATTAGGCTCTCCTGATAGCAAGAGACTGAGTTGCCATAGCTTCATTTAGCAATTTAAAATATAAAAAATTAAGTTAAAAAAAATTCTTTAGATAAGTTGATTGTAACAAGAATTTAATTACCTGTCCATAAGGGCATCTTCCAACAATGTTGTAACTGGATAAATATAGTCTTTGCCCATTTCACCAATGTATTCAAACATAAAAGATAGTGACTTGAGAACTCCATTCTGCACATTAAGCTCGGGGACTCTGTACTCATTCATCAAGGCTGGTAAAACTGTGAAGGGGGAGCAATTTTCTGCCACAATAGCAATGGCTACTGTTGTACAAACACGGTTCTGGCGCTCCTGAACTTTGAGGTTATTCAGAAGTGTTGCTAATACATCATGAGGGCTGTAGAATAAAATTACAAATAAGAATTATTTCTTAAAATATAAGTAAATAGACTACTTAAAATAAACAGTATATGTCTCTAACCAAAGCTAAAAAAGACAAATATACCATACACTAATAATTCAATAAATCATTAATAAATTTGTTGTTAAAATTTATTTTTTGCAGAGTGCAAAAGAAATACTTTCCTGCACACCTCATAAATGCTTTATTAAAAATTGAAGAATTGTCACAATAATCAGTACTTTGAAATTTAATTATGACAGAGTAATCTCTTCACATAATGAGACGAAAATATTTGATATACCTTAGTGAGCACTAAATTAGAAAGACTTATAATTTAATAATGTTATATTCAATAGAAATGGGAGAAAAATATTTTTCCTGCGATGCACACTTTTATCTAATTATAAACTACTTTACTGTGCCCATGTACTACATTATTTAAAGTTGAACAAAGATAATTTAATAGATATAAGACTTACCCAATAGCTTTAGCAATATAACCAAATGTGTTTACAGTAGCTCTGCGAATAGCTTTTTTATGTGCTTTCAAAAGCTCTAAAAGTTCAAAGCAAATTCTCATCCATTCTCTTGCAGACACAAATTCTGGACCTCTGTCAGCAATGCGCCCAACTAAATCGATACAGTTCTCTTGCACTTTCTCATGTCTGTTGAATATAAAAAAAAAAAACATGACAATTTTCGTATACTATTATAATAAAAAATTAAACATTCTGTTTGTTTTTTTGCCCACAGATTACTCATTAGATCATTTAATCTCTCCATTTTCTTACACTTGAAATGCCTTATAAAATAAGACAAGGGTTTCAGAAAAAATTCAAGATGTACCCAATACAATCTAAGATTAACATTTTTTTAAAATGTAAGTGTTCATAATATACAATATTCTTTCTTTAATTTCAGTTAATCCACTAGATTTAAAAATTATTTGTGGTTTTCTTTCTTTCCCTTTTAATTATGGTTTTAAAAAAATCAGCCTAATGACTTTTTAAAGTTCTGAGAGCTGAAGTATTGCTACAAAGCATTAAATTTCTGGGAAGACGATTACCTGTTCTTCAAAATGGGAGTGAGTCTGGGCAGCAAGTCCTTTATTGGTGGAGTCATTTTAGTCATGCCAATAACATTAACAATGGCCTTAAGTGCCCCTAGAATGGAGCCCAACACTTCTGGGTACTCTTCTCCAAGGTACTCATACAAAACAATACCAAGATGACCCATCAGTTTTTCCTGAAAAAAACAATCATGTGCACTGTAGATGATTCCAACAGCATGTTTTAATGAATTCATTCAATAAACAAGTAAAGAAATGCATTCAGATTATCACAATTACTCATGTAGTGAAAAAGTAAGGACAGAAAATACCAATTGGTATTAAAATCAATTTTCACATTAACATAAAAATATATTGCTCATTTAATACCTTCAAATTTATGAATCATCCCTACCTAAAGATATTTTTTTAATGGACCAATTAAGCATTACATCCATTTATAAGATGTTTTAACTTTAAATGTTAGCTTATAATGTTTACCTCTTGACAAGTCTTCATAACTATAGCTATACGTGAGATGAGATCAGCAGCCTGCTGTCTCACTTTAGCTGATTTATTATTCAGACGCCACAGGATGGTACCACACATCTGAGGCAGGTATGGTTTCACACGCTTACTGAGGGCATTAACAACCGTACCAAAGCCATTGAGCATAACCACATCCTGAGTATTAGGATCAATAAAATATTTGAATTAGAAAAACTAACACAAAATTAGAAAGTTAATTTTTTTTAAATTCATAACTTACAATACTTTGTTTTCACTAAATCTTTTTTTTTTTTAAATAATTTATATTCCTAAAGAAAATACATTATCTAATATTTTTCAAAAGAAATTTTCACAACAAACTCTTGAATTACAGTAATTCTTTTTCATATAGAAATGTAAAAAGCTCTCACCTCAGTAGTCTGCTCCTGAAAAGCATAGAGAATGCCATCAATGAGTTGTTCTTCAAGACGGGAATCTATGTCACTTGATCCAAGATTGGACATGATCTTCTCAATGGTCTCCATAACCATTTTACGATACTGCTCGGCTTCATCTTTAAGATCATCTACAACTCTCCCTATGATTTCTGCAGCTCCAACTTTGTTGGCTATTTCCACTGTTGTGTCTACAAGCTGAAAAAATGAACGTTTAAATTTAGTGAAGTTAAAAAAATCAGTACTCATTCAATGAATTTCTATTCTGTAATGACATATTTTTGAAAAGATAAATATAAAAATTATTACTTGTCTGTAGTTACGCCTGTCCAATGCCATACGTTGATTCCAAAAGTTTTTGAAAAAAGGTGGTAAAATTTCATCTTTAATGTACTGAGACTCCACACCATCTGTAGCACAACATTGCTTGACTACCTAGAAAATATAAATTATTGATTAATACTTTTATGCACAACATAAATAGTAATTAAAACAAAATCATGCTTAATAGTTTAAAATACCTTTTAGAAAAAATATGTATAAATAGTCCCGTTATTCATTCATAAGGTACAGTTGTATACTTGAAAAGTAATATTAGTTTATTAGTAAATTTTGTTAAAACTAGAAATTCTTTTTTAAAATGTCACCTTAAGCACAATCTTTTTCATTTCCTCATCAGGAGATGGAAACTCTCTAATAAGAATCAACATGACTTCTCTGGTGTAGTAGTTGGCATACTCGGCATCCATGAGGGGGATCAAGTAACCAATGGCTTTTAAGAAAGCAGCAAGACCCTAAAATAAAAAATAAGTATTAAATAATTTAATGAAAATACAAATCAAGATAATTCTTCTGTATTTTGATCAGATGCCCTTTTTGCTAAATGACATGTAAAAATTAATGTAAATTTATGTAGGCATTAAAAATCACAACAAAAGACAATGTGAGACTACTTACTTTGCCTCTGTGTTGACGAATACCTTTCCAAAGTGGTTTAAGGACACTGTCAAACGACTCAATGCCGTAAGGAGTTGCAGCTTCTGCTAATGCTGCCAAAGCCAAAGCAGTGATTGTTCGCACTTTCTGTTGCTCATCTACCAGACCTGAAGATTAAAAAAACCATTGAATAAAAATACCAATATAATATAAAAGATGAAACTTAATCATCAAGCTTGAGTTGTCTACTGTGCTCTATTCTTTGTTTTATTTTCATTTCTACTGTTGGCTGAGGAAGGCTTTATGCCGAGACGTCCTTGTTTTTTGTCCTGTTATCTTATTCAAGCTTCACACATACCTCATTTTGCTATTTTATTCATTTACTAAGCTTGAAAGCAGTCCTTTCATTTATATTTCCCATTAATTGAAGACAAATATTTTTTGTCTAATTTAGAAACATGACCAAAGTTTTACAAAACAACAAAATAATATCCACTAATAAGCAGACATGACTACAGAATGATGATAAATTGTATGTATTCTTGATGTGATAGAAGACTGTTGAATCCAAAATAGAAAATTATTGCTTTTTTTTTTTGGTTACTTACCTATGTTGGAATTTAAAAAAAGATAAAATATTTTAAGTGGAAAATCTACAAATGTTTTACTGCAAAATTTAAGTCAGAATTCCTATGAGAAAAGAAAATTAAGACTGCTTAATTTAATTAAGAGAAAGATTTAACTGTAATGGCAAAAAATGCTTTGATCTCAATGCCCTCTATTAAAAATAAAATATTATTTTAGTTAAGTAAATTCTGGAGTAAACATAATATAAATAAGATAATAAATTCTATTAAAACTAGATAATGAATAAATCTCTTTGGGTATTTAAAAACCTTTTCTTACCATGTTCTATTATCTCCACTAAACTCTTAAGATGGGGAAGGATAGCACATCCCATGAGAATAGAAATCTGTTGCACAATTTTTATTCCAGTGTGTCGAGCCTGCCATGACTTCTTGCTTTTGCACACAGCCTTCAAGAAAGGCAGCAGAGAGGGAATGCCCAAAGCAGATGCCACCACCGCAAATGCACGTGCAGTTGTGTTTCTCACATATTCATCCATGTTGTCAATATCTGGGCGCATAGTTGCTATCATTGTAGCTAGACCAGCAGCCTATTAATAGATGCAATTAAATATTTTAAAAAACGTTTCCAATCATTTGAAAGTGTTGTCCAAAACTAACAATAGGGAAAAAAAAAGGGTCAATGTCAGTTAGGTAATAAAACAATATATAAAAATAACGTGTAAAAACATAGCAAGGGGCGCAAATGAATTCAATGCTCTTCTTTTCAGCTCAATTGGAGATCAGTAAGTGGGTCCAAACTGAGATGCAAGATTTGACCATATACAAACTAACAAATGGACAGCAACCAAAGAAAAGGGTCTTTGTGTTTCATGGACGCCACCACACTTTTTAAATCTTATGACTGTAACAACTCTGATTGTAGGACGTTTATTCTATGTCTTATTAAATTTCTGGAAAAGCGTGTTTTTAAAAAAAGTATTTTTATATATATTTTTATTTTGTAATTTTTAGTCAAGTGTACAAAGTTTCAGCTCAATTAGGGATCAGGAAGAAGGTCAAAATTGAAATGCAATACTTGACATTTACAAGGATTCTCATACTCATAGAGGTCACTAAAGGATCAGTGGAGGTCACTAGTGACCTACTGATTATGAAGAGTTGTATTATCAATAGGGTGAGTAAGTGTACAAAGTTTCAGCTTAATTGGACATCAGAAAGTGGGTAAAAACCGAGATGCAAGATTTGACCAGATAGACTAAATCGCGAGCTAAAAAAAAAAGCGTGATTTAAAAAGTGTCTGAATTTACTGGCAAAATAATTATGCTAATCATTTAATATAATAGTACTTCAATCCATTTTGCTTGACATTATGGAAAAGTTGTTATTTACTATAAAAATCTCACCTTAGCCAAATTGGAGATGATCTCTCTGCCTTCCACTCTGGCATAGTAATCTTCATCAATGAGCAGGGGTTCAATAACCACAAGAATTTTGTGCACATAGGGGCGCACCAAATCATCTAATTTATAAAGGATCCTGTCAATAACTTTGACCAAAAGATGACGCTCTTGGTCTTCTAAAGTTGGAGACATGAGCAATGGTAGAATTTGATTGAATAATGGACCAGCACCAAACTCACGTGCTTTATCTGTTATCTGGCGCAACGCAGCCTGTGATAGAGTAAAATAAAACAAGTATGACTTTTTGATGAGCAAGCAATAAATATTTATAAGAAAGAAATAACAAGAGCAAGCAAAAGAATTAAAATGACTGTTATGTAAGACAAAATAAATAGTTATCTTGCGTAATGTAATTTAAGATTCAATACCTTTCTCATTGGTGGTGTGCCATTCTTTATTTTCAAAAGCAATTTCATGATTTTTCGTTCTTTTTGTTCTTCTGGTGAGAGTGTCTCTTCATCAACATCCACCTGAATTCAGAATATGACCAGGAATTGATAACATGGAAATGCAAATATTTTAAGTATCAGTCAGTGAAATAAATTCTTTTTACATAATTTAAATTAAATGTTAAATCTGTATACATTAATACAAAATTATATTAAATACCAGACGTCAGAACTTATTAAACAGAAAACTATAGAAGCCATTCTATGCATCAAGAAAATACTGACAACTTCATAATAAATGATCAATTTTCTTATGGAAATAATTCACACCCTAAAGCAAGTAACAATCTGAAATACACATGTAACAATCTAAAATACACTGAAAAAAAAGGAACATACCAAAAGTTTATCAAAATACTGCATGTCATCTGGCTTCATCATAGGCAAATTTCCTTTAGGTTGCATGTCTACAATCATATCTTTGCTACTTTTGTTATCTGGGGTCTGCATCCTAAAACCCATTGGTGTGCCAGCCATTGGAGTAGGTGTAGCAAGCAGCTTTCGTGCAGGTGTCCTAATTGGTATATAACCAGCTGGTGGAGGCAAAACCTGAAATAGAAGTTTATGATTTTATACAAACTTTTTTTTGGGTTAAAATGAGGAAGAAAAAGTTACTAAATATTGGCATAAGTAATTTTTCAGAACAGTGAAAATTTTTCAACTCCAAGCCCTTTCTTCCATATCAGCTTTATCACATTTAGTTTTAAACTGCTTATACTAATACTATAAAATAATCACTTACTTTATAGCCAGGTGGAAACATGGACTCCAGTTCATCATCTGACAATGGTCTGTTCCTCTCATCAATTTCCCGCTGCCATGAGAAAGCTTGCAGCTGTTCAGGTGTCATGGAAATCAAATGACCAGGGGTTGGTGTTGCCATAGCCATTGCTTTGGAACCAGTAGGTGTCACACCACTGGGTGTCATGCTTGGGGTCATTCCACCAGGGGTTAATCCACCGGGGGTCATGTTTGGCGTCATCTGACCTGGTGTCATGCTTGGAGTCATAGCTGATGGGGTAGCTGCTCCAGGGGTTTCATCCCAACGTGACCGTCGCTTGCTGGCCCCTGGTGTTGGAGTGCTTTCAATCAAATCCCCCCCACGGTCTGTTTTTGGAGTCTCCGCCCAACCACTACCATGGCCAGGAGTTTCTAAAATAAAAAAATAAAAATTCTCAAAATTTTTTAAACTAAATAACATTTCAAAGTTTATATGAAATCCACAATTAGAAAGTAGACTGTTTTCTCTATTTTTCACAATTGGTAAAAAAAATAAACGTTTGATCAACCAAGTAAAAATAATATTTAACTCATTATTTGGGAACAAATGACTAGAAATCAGACAATGGAATAATATATTTAAAATACTCACCTCTTTCTGTTTTTGGCGTTTCATCCCATCTGTTTTTCCTTGCACTTGGTGTTGCCTTATGTCCTGATGTCTCATCTCCCCTACCAGGCGTTACAGCCCCTGGAGTAGCATGACCTGGGGTGGCATCCCATGCACGTGAGCTTGGAGTTGCCCCTGGAGTTTCTGCACCTGAAAATACCAATACATTGCTATTTAATATGACATTAAATAACAATAAACATCCACTGCTCAAACAACCCAGAAAAAACGCAGCAATTCTAAAAAGTGTTGCAGGACACCCTAGCTAAAGGATCACACAACAGAACTATTGACTCTCTAAGTGGAGTCATTTACGAGATGCTGTGTACAATTCAGCCATGTCCGCCTACGATAAAAAGGAGCATTTAATAATGACTGGTACGAGGCGCATTGGAATGTGATGGAACCAGTAATCGAGAGGAAGAGAAGAGCCCTACTTGCCTATAGGAATGCACCTTGTTCTAGTACACTGCAGGCTCTCCGAACCGCAAAAAAATTATCACAGCAGTCGGCTCGCCACTGTGCCAACACTTACTGGCTAGAACTATGCAACTCCATACAATCGGCTTCAGACAACGGAGATGCAAGGAGCATGTACGAGGGCATCAAGAGGACATTTGGTCCACACACGTCAAAAATAGCACCACTCAAGTCCAAGACAGGTCAAATTATCAAGAATCCAAATGATCAACTTCGGCGTTGGATAGAGCATTATCTTGAGCTACACTCTACAACCAATGTAGTCACTGAGACCGCTCTGCATAATATTCCCGCCTTGTCAGCAATGAATCAACTGGATGAAGAGCCAACTTTACAGAAGCTCGAAAAAGTCATTGATTACCTTGCGGATGGGAAGGCTACGGAAATCCTCAAAAATGGAAAACCTATCCTACTTGAGCCCTTACATGAGCTCCTCTGTCTGTGTTGGGAAACAGGTCACATTCCCCAGGACATGAGAGATGCCAACATCATAACATTGTATAAAAATAAAGGGGACCGAAGTGATTGCAATAACTACTGAGGTATTCCTCTCTTTAGCTTAGTTGGAAAGACTTTTGCCGGTGTTGCCCTTAAACGATTGCCGAGTCTTGCGAACCGCATCTACCCAGAGTCCCAGTGTGGCTTCAGGAGTGGGCGCTCAACAATAGACATGATATTTTTGCTACGCCAAATGCAGGAGAAATGTCGCAAACAGCATATGCCTCTTTATATTGCCTTCATAGACCTGACCAAGGCATTTGACTTGGTAAGTCAAAGAGGCCTTTTCAGTATTCTGCAAAGAATAGGTTGTCCCCCACGACTGCTCACAATAATACAGTCATTTCACAAAAACATGCACAGCTCAGTTACTTTCAATGGCACTCTCTCTGAGTCATTCCTAGTTAACAGCGGAGTAAAACAAGGTTGTGTACTGGCACCAACGCTCTTTTCAATTTTCTTTTCGATGCTCCTTCAATTTGCCTTCAGGGACTGTGAAGATGGAGTGTACGTCCATACAAGATCTGATGGAAGACTGTTCAATATCGCCCGCCTTCGTGCAAAGACCAAAGTAAAAAAGGAGCTGATTCGTGAGCTGCTCACTGACGATGCCGCCTTAACATCTCACACAGAAGGTCTGCAGGGGCTGGTTAATCGTCTATCACATGCTTGTTAAGAGTTTGGACTTTCGATTAGTCTACAGAAAACTCATGTAATGATGCAAGAAACACCGTCCCCTCCAATCATATCTATTGAGGGTCATAATCTTTCGGTTGTTGATCATTTCATTTACCTGGGATCCAATATTTCTAGTTCTCTCTCCGTTGATGAAGAGATAAATATCAGGATCGCAAAAGCAGCAGCAACAATGTCTAAACTGAATAAGCGGGTGTGGAATAATCTCAATCTAACTGATAAAACAAAAATAAGTGTCCTAATGGTAGCGAAGTGTGGACCACATATACCAGCCTGGAGCGGAAACTCAACAGTTTCCATCAAAGATGTCTGCATCGCATTTTGCACATTCGTTGGCAGGACAGGGTGCCTAACGTGGAGGTTTTGGAACGTGCACACATGTTTAGCATATTCTCCTTTCTAATCAAGAGGCGCCTTCGCTGGTTAGGTCATGTACGGATAATGGAGGAAGGATGTATCCCAAAGATACTGCTGCATGGGGTCGGCAGAAGGGACAAGACATATTGGACGACCGCGCCTGAGATTTATTGACGTTTGCAAACGATGCATGAGGGAAGCCAATATTGAAACAAACGAATGGGAGTTCATTGCCGAACATCGCTCCAACTGACGAACATCAGTGTTTGAAGGAGTAAAAAATGCAGAAGATACTCGAAACGAGGCCCTTGAATCAAAAAGAACTATTCGGAAATCAAGAATTTACCGGAATTCAATATTCTACTGCGAGAGATGCGGCAGTGATTGCCATTCTAGGATTGGCCCAGTGAGCCACTCGTCAAAGTGTAGAACAATATAGCTACTCCATCGTCTCACGAAGAATATAATCTCCATCTGATAGCTTTATAATGTTTACTTCACTGTAGCCCCAATCAGTATTTTAATTCCAACATAGATTTAATTATTATATCTACAAAATATGAATTTGTGTAACAAATCAATGGTCCTTTCTTTACTCAACATGCAAATGACTAAAAAAAATTTTTTTAGGTCGTCTCATATTTTTTAAAAATTAATTATGTTCCTATTCTAATATTAACCATTTCCACCTGCCTTTAAATTATGTGCAAGCTAAACTCATAACTTTTAACTTCAAAAAACAAAAAAAAACATAACATTTTTATATGACTTGTTAAGTTTGAATTTCTAATACCTTTTGCTCTGCCTGGTGTCTCATCCCATCGACTATTTGATGGTGTGGTAGCTTCAGCAGCATCCCAAGATGACTTCTTCTTAGCTGGTGCTTCCTCACCCCCAGCCTGATCCCAACGACGACGTTTAGCAGTTTGTTTTTGTGCATCAGAATCTTTCACTAATTTCAGTTCTCCGGATTTAGCTTTCTCTTGCATCTGTTGTCTAAGTCCTGCCTGTAAAAATAAAATAAGTTCACTTTTAAGTTATTGGCAAAATTAAGTTGAAGTTACCAGTTTCCAATTTGTTAAAATGTTATTGATCAAAATCTGTATAGAAGTACATAAAGTGCAAATAATTTATATGTACCCTGAACTCATCTCACCTGCTGTTTGATGAGGGCCCTCTCTGCCATAACTTCGGGAAATGATCTGCCCATACGAGATGGATCTGGTGTTTTGCCACCTAAAATGAAAAAGCAGAAGAGTCACGACAGGGCCGTGACATAAAAAAAATATTAAATATGTATAACATTTCATTGATCATAATTTGGTAGCATTACTTAATAGGGACAGCTCTGATATGGTTTTTATTTCAAGTTTTGGGGCAATAAAACGAGCTACAAGAGCTATCAAACCTGTCCCTATCCTGGAAAACATGGGCCTTTTTGGACGAAAACCTATGAATGAAATCATTGTAACAAACTTATGCTCATCTTTATTTAGCATCAAAATATGTAACAAATACTAAATTGTTCATTATTTTGTCACATCATGAGAAAATGTCCAATACTTAATTAGATATTAAATAAAACTTTGTAAAACAAACAATAGAAAAGTTCATATAATTCTTTCCCCAAAACAAGTAGTTATGTTAGGATAAATAATTCCAAACTTTCAATTATCTAGATTTTAGCTATTTCATATCCTTCCAAAAGCAAATGCCTTTTTAATGTAACTTTTCCCTATCTTTATAAAAGTTGTACACCTTTAAATTTCAAGTATTCCAACTGTTTCATATCAATTAAATGAGCATAAATTTGCTCTTTGCGTGAACAGCAACAATTTAAAATCTTTGGCCAACATATTTTCCAGTTGGAAAGATAGCAGTTTGTTTAAAAACAGCTAGCTTTCCTACTTTTTTTTCTTCAAATTTTAGTTTTGGCAAACATATCCAGCTGAAAAGATGTACAAATTACAAATCTATTTCAAATGTTGAAAAAAATAGATAAAATTTAACAAATGTTTGCCAAAACTAAACAAACCCTGGATTATGTTATACGTACGCTTTCAGCATGTAGAGCTCTCGCATTGATCTGGCTGTTAACATATTGAGGCAGCATCCCTAAAATTAGTCTTTCATTAGTTAAGTGATGAAAGGACTATGACCAGGGTGACAACAGCACACAAACAATTACCATTCTCACCTCGAAGCTAACCCTATGAGACCAAATAAGTATTCAGTGGTCCAAGCTATGATTAGCCAGTTAAAATTAAGGGATTTGGCTCTTTATTCAGCAAATAGTTAAGAAATAAAACTACTTATAGACTTAATTCTTGCTTCGTCATTTAATTTTACTTTTAAATCTGTAGAATGACATTCTCACAAATATCATACAATTAAGAATGGAGTCTGAGGTAAGCCCATGAACCATGAAGCTATGGAGAGCTTTCAGGCGATCACTTGATCAACATCAGCATTTGAACATGGCTAGGAAGGAAAGGTTTAACTGGTATTAGACTCGATGTCAGGTAGTGAAAATTAATGTGTCTTTAAAACAATATACCAAGCATTAGGAATTGTTCTTTATAATATTAACAGACGAAAACCGGCGATGTAACAGCTTATTTAAATATGCACACAAATAAAAAATTTAATTTTACAAAATTAAGTCTGAATTTTTTTTATTTCCATAAATCCGCTATCGATTACCTAAACTCAAAGGTTTATTTCAAATTCCATTATGGTGTGGTAACATGTTTACTATAGTTTGTGTAGCATGTAAAACTCACCAAAATGAATTGAAAACAAGAAAAATAAGTCCAATTTTCTTAAATGAGAAAATCATTACTATTTGACACTTATTGGTAGGTAAAAAACTTTCATGTCATCTGCAATAACTGGTGCAAAATGAACCCAAAATTTAATTAGAAATCATTTGATTTTGCATCTTTAAAGTAGTCTAACATAGAACTTGGTTAAGATTATGTTCTAACAAATTCATCATTTTATTTTTGAAAATCACAATACCAACTGGGGCCATATTATTAAAATTATCTAAGAATACCAGTAAAAATTATGTACCACTTTTTTTTATTTACTAAAAAAGATAATAAATAGAGTAGACATACAGCTTAAATGTCCCAAATGAGCACTTATTGTCCTCTCTTCTAAGAGCCCTCTTAGTTTTTATCAAAATACCCATTGATGACCAAAGTACACATTTTTATTTTGGCAATTAACTATGGTGGTAAAAGAAATATACTTTCATAAGATAAAATTATGTTTCTTTATCCACAATGGAATGTTATTTCATTACATTTTATTTTAAAAATCCACGAAGTAATATAAAAATATCTTAAATTTAAGACATTTTTTTTTAAAGACCAAACTCATGATGTATGCATCATTGTTAACAATGCTGTAAGGAAAAATCCCACATTATCATTATTTCTTAGCACTTATTCTTGGTTTGACAAATTTTATCATACAATTTAAAAACTACATACCTGACATCTATAAATTCAATGGCAAGATGAAAAGCACAAAGACTTTCCCCATGATATAATAAGTAACATAACTTCAGTATAGCTTTGAAAATAAAAGTAAAGGACTTTATTTGTACATTACCTTGAGCAAAAGGGTCATCTCTCTCGGGAGAAATAATCATTTGTCGACGTCTAGCCCTGTATTCATCTTCCCTGTCAGCAATCTTTGGTATTCTGTGTTCTGCCATGGGATCAAAATCCTGAAAATAAAAAAAATAATAATCAGTTTTTAAGTGATGACTATATGTTTAAATTAGAACAATACATTGGAAGGGAAAAAAAAATAAGTGACAATTTTAAAGTAAATATTTCTTTATTCACCTGATCATTCGCAGTATCATGAAGAAGGTTGAGTGGAGCAGTGTAGTTAGACTTTTTCTGGTAGACTGGTGTGACGTCATCATCATCCTAGTTAGGTCAAACAATGAGTATAAAATACAAAATAATGCTTAAACTTTTACTTATACTGAAAAAGTTATGAAAAAAAATCTGAATTGGTAACAACTAAAATTGGTGAGCAAACTTTTATTTTCTTAGGTACAGTTGCTGTTATGGCATTTTCTTTTTTTAAATTACTCTATACATGTGTAATGCAAAATAAAATAACCACGATGGAGCTCTTTTACAATTTAACTATCCATTTTTATAAAGTATAAAATTATACACATTTATTAAATATTACCCAACAATACACTAAATTAAAAAAGAAAGAATTGTATAATTCGGCAACATACTCGATTCTAAATTTTGTATTAATTTACATGACATAAAAATGTACTTACATCAACTTCATCATTAGCTGCAATTGATGTGTAATAGCCTCCATCATATCTACTACCTCCATAAATGTCAGTATCAAAATGACCCTCAGAACCTAATCCAACTCTTTCTTCTTCAGAGTCTTTATTTAACAGTGCTTGTTTTTTTGCCTGTAAATTTCTCACCGTCTCCTCAATTTCTGGGAGAAGATAAAAAAAAATGTAATGAAACTACAAAGAAAAAAAAAGATTTAGCTATTCACTGGAAGCCATAAAAAAATAGAATTAGCAATTTATATTTGGAAATTGGTTTATCAGAGGGAAACCACCCTGACACAGAAGACTGGGAACTTTTGAATGGCACACCAAACCATCAAAGCATTTTGAAAAAAATGTGGGCCTGGTTAAATGTATAGATGGTATAATGTGCATTAACACTTGTGACTAGTTAAAGTGTATGTCAGTACCATTTAACCAAGACCAAAGAACAAACTACAAAGGTAACAGTAGCAGGGTTGATTTTGGGTTAGCGGTAAGGCCTTGGATGTGTTCCACAGTATATAGGTCACGGAGGTTCCCCCAGGTCCACCTCATCTACAGACTCATACTAAAAAGATTTCGATTTGTGTTGTATTCACATAATGCAAGTTATTTCTTTATTTTATATTTTTTGTTAAATTGGGTAGAGGCCCCCCCAGAGGATTTCTTTGTTCCTTATTTTGGTATTTAAAGTGGGGGGAGGGGGTCTCCCATCCCCAGAAGATAATTCCAAATGCAATATAAGCAGTAGACTCCCTTTTGCTACAGAAGAATACATACAATACAGGTATTTTTATTCGCAACTAATCAAAATACAGCACTTTTGGCATGCATCTTTTTTTTTTCCCACCGATGTTGGGTCTTTTGGGTATCAACAAGTATGTGTTTCTCTTTTTTCCTTTCTTTTGAAATGAGTAAGTTGAATTTTAATACAAATTAATGGAAAATTTAATTTTAATCTAATTAATTTAACCGTATGGTTTATGATGCAAGTAATGCTCAATAAAGAACAGGATTGTTATATCGTTCTGGTCCTACAATTAATAGGTCTATTCACCCAAAGTCCCGTGTTGGGACTCCCCAAAATGACGTCACTGCGCTTAGGGTGAGATAACTCTTGGCAAAACCGATACTGTTAACCCAAAATTTACCCAGTAGCAGTAGTACAAGTCATGGGTCACTTTTAATTTTATAAAGTCGAAGTACTATTACTATTATACTGTTCATGCCATTTAATTTATGCAATTTATCACATTGAGATTGGGGGGGGGGGGATATTTAGTATTAGTATTGACCCTATTCAATTGTGCTCAAACACATTAATAAGACATTTTTACCTTGCATTAATTTAAATTTAAAATGAAGCAACATTACTAGTAGTACTACTAAACTGAACTGCTTTGGCTTTAGACTTTTAGTTAGACTTTTTACCTTTCTGACTTTCTGGACGATTCTGAGATGACTGCTGTTGCATACATTTCCAAATTAATACAAAAATGAATAAATGATAACTTGTCAACCTTACATTTACATGATTGATAATGAATGAAACTATGTTGGTTCTTTTCTATTAAAGAAAATGTTAAAATACGTTGTAAAAACGTCAGGTCGTTGTAAAAACGTCAGGCCGAGTATTGAAAGCACTGGACTGTGCAGGTACAGATGACGGTTTTGTTTGCTGGAGTCCCCAAAATTAAGAATAAGAGCATGGAAGGTCACGGAACTCTGATTATGATTTGAACCAAATGTGGCAAATTTCTACTTTATTTGACAGAATCATGGGGGAAATGTAATTATAATTAAAATAATAGTGCACTCAAATAATTTACCTTCGTGTGTTGTGGCGGCCATTTTGTAAAATATACTGACGTCACATATCCCAGAATTCTAACAGTAGTGCGCGTTTGCCAAATTTCAATAGGGTTCCGTTCAAACAATTTTAATTGTAATTGTAACTTTTTTATTTTTGAAAAAGAATATTCAAATAAAAAGAATTTTCCATGGATAACTTATTCTCTAGTATTTTAAATAGGTTATCACTGAATTCATTGCAAAAATTTTCTTTATGAAGCTGATTTAAGTAGCCGATCTTTATTATACAAAGTTATTTTAATTAAAACCTCTTGGCAGTCTACTCTTGCATAATTTGTTTTTTACCTCACATTATTGTCCACTTAGTAAGGATATCCAGAAATAGAGTCATAATATTGTTTGCTTCTCTTTAAAAACAATTCTTAAAACTTTAATGCAATTAATCCCGTGGACTGGTGAAAATAGCTTTTTTGATCGCTTGGCTTAGTCAGAAATAGGGACGTTAATATTATAATGGGACTGTTCTTTTTTTTTTAAATTTAAATTTAATTTAAAAAAAAATTTTTTTTGCTTCTGTGTTGTTGTTTTTTTTTTGTTTTTTTTTTTTTTTTTGTTTTTGAAAAACCTTTTACATTTATTTTGGATCGTTTTTTGAAAGTCTTTAATTGTATTTTTTTCAAATGTTTTCAATATGGATTTTTTTCAAACTAAAATATTTTTTTATTTTTTTTTTTTTATATTTTAATTTATTTTTAAAAAATTTTTTTTTGTTTTTTTGTTTTTTTTTTTTTTTTGTTTTTTTTTTTTTGTTTGTTTTTGAAAAACCTGTTACATGTATTATGGATCGTTTTTCGAAAGTCTTTAATAGTATTTTATTCAAATGTTTTCAATATGGATTTTTTTCAAACTAAAATATTTTTTTAAAGAATGATAAAACTAAACTCGATTATCGGGTAGTAAAAATCAACAATTGTTTGATGTAAGGTTAAACCTGAAAAAAAAGAAACACAACAAAACAACATTACTGTTCGCTGACGAAGGCTTCCTGCCGACACCTTCGTTGTTTTGTTGCGTTCCTTTTTTCAGGTTTAACTTTACTTTGTTTTACTAATTTCCTATTATCCCTTAGCGGCATTTTTTCTCTTTATATGGAGGGGCGGTATTCTCCGACAGCTGCATCGTTTCTTTGTGGAAAAAAATCTTGGCTAACCCGGGCGGCACTAACTCTAGCTAAGCAACTGCTATAAAACATGTATTGAGATTTTAGGCCATTTTGAGCATAGGCGTAGCCTACTAGTATATAGTAACAAGTCATTACACGTGCCGTGGGTGCCACTTGTCTCGAGAGATGGTGCACTTGCTGCACAATAAATTGTATAAAGTTGGTATCCATCGACAGCATTTATTTATTTTTAAAAGTATTCATTTTAAATTATCTAGAATCAAACTCCTTGAAAATTGTTTCTTTCGTCAAATTTATTTCTTGAAATCCTTCCATCCATCCCTGTCGCTCTACAGCCCATGTAGGTGTAGGGATTTGACCTGCCTCACCACGTCCTTCCACTGAGACCTATCTGATGCTTTTCTTTTCCGTGCTTAGATTCCCGAAGTACATTTTCATAATTGTAGAAAAGCCGCATACTTTCAGAGTGGAATTCGAGTCATGAGTGTTATAATTCGATAGTGGCAAACTCTCGATGTCACGTGTTCGCCTTGAGACTTACAGAAGGCGCACGTTCGCATTTGCTGGCCCAACAATTTGGAACACACTTCCTGTCGCTCTCGGAAACACCCAGACACTGGAGTCTTTCAAAAACGATTTGAAAACATATCTATTTCGCAAACACCTACCATCTATTCCAGCTAACTATTATCTCCTAGATGTATAGTGGCATGTGTTGTTCATGGTTGCAAGAGATGAAAGACTTAGAATGGGTATTCTCGTATGTAGTTTTTGTAATGTTGCGTTTTGTATTTCAATGTGGTAAAATATCGATTTTTTAAATTTCTTTTTTAGTACGGATGACTTTGTACCGCGCTTCGAGCCTTTGGGGATGAAGCGTGATTGTCAAATAAGCTTATTATTATTATTATTATTATTATTATTAATTAGAACCGTTCTAATTTCCTTCTGAACGGCTTAAAGATGCTGAATCTGAACTTCTGTCGTTTGACGTTTCTAGCTTGACGTGTTATTTTAATTTACCTTATGACATTTCCAAACATTTTAGTTTTTCTTTAAACCCATGAATGTAAAGAAATTGTGCCTGAATTATTGTAGAATCTTTTTATTTTTTTTTTACATAAATTGTTTTAAATTTTTTTTAATATATTATGTCAATAATTATCAGATCAACTTTGTTACTATTTTTTTTCTGCCTTTTACCTCCCTTGCCTTGTGTAGCTTCTTACTATTACTGCTGAGAGCAAATGTTATTTGTTACGGTTACCTCCCATAATTGTTTTTATACCATTTCTTAGTTGTAACAGCTTCCCGTGATTGTTCCCAGTTATCTCCCTTTGCCGACCGCCATTTATCGTGTGCACGCAAGCAGTGGGTTAATGGCCTCCCTTCGATGCCCAGAATCCCATTTGTGTCCGTCTAATGAGGACATTTTTAATGGCAAAGTTCAGATGTGCACTTGATTTCCGTGGATGGCAGGGGCTTACATTATTTTTTAAATAAAAGTTTAATATCGCCGCCAGCTAGATTTATGACTTTTTCACTCCTGTCAAAATTAATCTGTGGCAATGACTTAAATTTCATGGATTGTAAGTTAAAGATTTGTAATTACTTCAATTTAACAACACCTGGAAGAGCAATAACTAGATACAAAAGTATATGCAATAATAACATGTCGCTGCATAAAACTTTGTGTAAGGAGCAGAATATTTATTTGTAGGAAGTTTATCTTTGGGCCTACATAAGCAGCCCCCCCCCCCACACACACACACACACGCACACACACACTCACACTCACTACCGTTTAAAAGTGAGTTCTTATTCCGGACATATAGGGAAGTCGAACACAGGAATGCACGAAAAAGTGTAGTGTCAAGGTCATTTCCTTTTAATTTTATTTTACCCTTCCCCTCCCCACCCCACACTTCTTTTCGCCCTTTTGGTAAAAACTTCATACATTTTTAGCAACGACTTTTTCAACTCTCCCCACAACTTTTTCACGAGGCGTTATTAATGACTTCTAACGCTTTGAAGTGTTATTGATGACGTCTAAAGCTCTGATCTTGTGAGTGACAAAGTGTTATTGATGACGTCTAACGCTCTGATCTTGTGGGTGACAAAGTGTTATTGATGACGTCTAACGCTCTGATCTTGTGGGTGACAAAGTGTTATTGATGACGTCTAAAGCTCTGATCTTGTGGGTGACAAAGTGTTATTGATGACGTCTAACGCTCTGATCTTGTGGGTGACAAAGTGTTATTGATGACGTCTAACGCTCTGATCTTGTGGGTGACAAAGTTTTATTGATGACGTCTAAAGCTCTGATCTTGTGGGTGACAAAGTGTTATTGTTGACGTCTAAAGCTCTGATCTTGTGGGTGACAAAGTGTTATTGATGACGTCTAAAGCTCTGATCTTGTGGGTGACAATGTCTTATTGTTGACGTCTAAAGCTCTGATCTTGTGGGTGACAAAGTCTTATTATTGACGTCTAAAGCTCTGATCTTGTGGGTGACAATGTCTTATTGATGACGACTTGAGCTCTGATCTAAAACTATAGCCATAATAACGAACTGGGACATCTCTAGCTGCGCCACAGCCCAACATGAACAAAATTCATTCAATTGGGGCACCCTTAATGGTATGCTTGAGGATAGTCTCACCACTTAAATCTTTATAGTCCAAGAATTTTGTTCTAAAATGTTTGAAAAATTTCAAACTGCAAGAATGCATTTTATCACATACCTGAACTTAGTTTTACATCATTCTACACTGAATCGTAGAGCAACAGAAGAGATGCTAATTAAAAATGTGGGTGTCACATAATCCTAGAGCCGTGTTTTGACCCTGCAACCCCTGCGGCTACAGGGGGCCTTGAATATTTAATGGGCTAACAGTTGTGACGCGACACTGTTTAAATTTTCCCCTTTGAATGCGGCGGGTGGGGGTACCAAACTGACAAATGGCAGGAGCCTCGGAAAGTCAAGCGATGGTTCTGCTCGACCTGCTTGTGCTATACAAAGAGCTGTTGGTTTTTGTTTTGTTGGTTTTTTAAAATTATTTTTACTAAATAGGAATGAAGTTTTACATTTTTAATTTAACTACTTCATAAAGAAATGATTTTTTTATAATTTTTTTTATTATTATTATTATTATTTTTTGCATTACCATAAAAAAAGCCCTGTTGACATCATTTGACACGTTAAACTCAAATGGAAACAAATCACAATTTATTAACAAAATTACCTTTTCTAAATATTTCAGAGTTTACCAGAGTCGAAAAGATACTAATTTTTTTAAATCGTACATGAAAGGCATAATATATGTGTAAAGAAGACATGAGACAAAAGACATCTGGTGGATATCGTATAAATATAAAGTATACATTTCCCGGGATTCAGCTGATCCAAATGTTTATTTAAAGTTTCAAACTATAACGATAGTTATAACTATAACTTTCTTCAGATAAATGACAAATGATCTCTTCCATATAGTTTAGAACAGTGCTTCCTAAACTTGTATAATTGGCTAACGGGGCAAGCTTCGACAAATGATCTCTTCCATATAGTTTAGAACAGTGCTTCCTAAACTTGTATCATTGGCTAACGGGGCAAGCTTCGACAAATGATCTCTTCCATATAGTTTAGAACAGTGCTTCCTAAACTTGTATCATTGGCTAACGGGGCAAGCTTCGACAAATGATCTCTTCCATATAGTTTAGAACAGTGCTTCCTAAACTTGTATCATTGGCTAACGGGGCAAGCTTCGACAAATGATCTCTTCCATATAGTTTAGAACAGTGCTTCCTAAACTTGTATCATTGGCTAACGGGGCAAGCTTCGACAAATGATCTCTTCCATATAGTTTAGAACA